CCCACTCACAGTAATCGACCCTTCTGACAAAGCCAGCTTGCAAGAGTTTCTCGACTTCTTCTTTAATAACTGTTAACCTCTCCCCCCCGAAGAGGCGTCGCTTCTGGGCTACTGGTTTCTTGAGGGGATTGGTGCTGAGTTTATGTTGAAAAACTGAAGTGGGAATTCCCGGCATATCTGCTGAAGTCCATGCAAAAACATCTTTATTGGCCCGAAGAAAAGCTATTAGCTCTGCTCTTTCTTTCGGGTTCAATTTAGTCCCAATTTGCATTTTCCGACTCGGATCTCTATCATCAATCTGTACCTCTTCCACATCTTCGACTGGAGCAGCTCTGGTTTCATCTTCTGGTCGGTTATCCACTATTTCAACACCCATAACGTGCCGATCATCAGGAATCTGTTTGTGATTAATCTCGGGTGTCTGAGCCTTGCCCTTTTGAGGTTGTGTTACCGAGGTGATATAGCAATGCCGGGCCACCTCCTGGTTTCCTCGCAGCATTGCTATTCCCGTAAGAGTTGGGAACTTCATGCATAGATGAGATTGGGAAACCACAGCTCGGATTTCAGTCAGTGTGGGTCGACCAATGACGACATTGAATGAGGACGCCATCTTGACTACCAGAAACCTGACTGAAGGGGTCACATAACTTCGGCCACTACCAAATGCAACATTCATAGTGAGGACTCCTTCAACTGGAACTGGTTGGTTGTTAAACCCGTAAATGGGACCATCATACCACTGCAACAGAGCGGGATCTAACCCAAGACTCTCAAAAAAATGGAAGTACATGATGTCTGGTGCACTCCCTGTGTCAATAAGGACACGCTGCACTTCACAATTGTTGATCGTGAAAGAAGTGACTAAAGGATCATTGTGAGGTGTGACAATTGTTTCGAGATCAGCAGATGTGAAAGTGATGGGTTGATTCTTCCACTCAGCATTATCAAATTTTCGCTTCTGAGCTCGGTTCTGATGCTTAACCTCTCTGACATACAACTTTCGCTGCTTAGAGCTCAGTCCACCGGCTTCCAGACCTCCCGTAATCATGTGTATGACTCTAGTTGGTGGTGGGAGTGGGGGTGGGGCTTGCTGATATCCCATACCTTGTCTGTTTGGGGGATTGCGGATTGCTTGATGCTGTGGCCCTTGTTCTCTGACAAACCTTGGCTGTTCCACTCTCTAGATGTACTCATTCAACATTCCTTTCTGTGCCAGACTTTCCAGTTCGGACCTCAGACTATTACATTGCTCTGTTGTATGACCGTGATCCTGATGAAAATCACAGTACCTAGTATGGTCTCTGGTAGCAGCAGCAGTTCTCATTGGACCCAGACGTCTTAAGTCCATCTTATTCTTAATCTGCATAAAGATTTGTGACCTCGGTAAATTAAAAGGAGTCCAATTAACTGGAGGTTTACCTGCAGGTTGTT